AAAATACTTGGATGATATAAAAAACAAAAAACACAGAGTAGCATTAACCAAATTTCGTATTTCAGCCCATTTCTTGCCAATTGAAATAGGCCGTCACAGGGGAATAAATAAAATTGACAGGGTATGTAACAAATGTGACTCTAAGGATGTGGGTGATGAAAAACATTACTTTTTTCATTGTGACAGTTTTTCAGAACACAGAAAAAAATTCCTCTATACATTGTTCAAATACTCACCTGACTATCAAACATTACCAAATGGAGAATTGTTTATTAATGTTTTCTCTAGTGTAGACAAATATATTTGTAGTATTTTAGCTAATTTTGTTTTTCAGATTTTAAAATTATTTTAGATTAGTTGTGATATTGTATGTTTCTTACGTTGGACTTTACTCAAGCATTGTTTTTGTGTACGTTCCAAATAAAATATCCTATCCTATCCTATTTTTAGCTTGAGGCAGTGTGCTCTGAAAAGTGACGTGACAGTGTAATTCAGAGGTGGTGTAACCAAAGACTCTAGTGTCTTTGGTGTAACTATAGTTGATTCGTTTCTCCATATTTGTGTATGTAAACCAATCAGTGGGGGAGATATATCCTCTAAAGGCGGAAGCCTAGCAAGAAGCAGGCAGTCCGGACTGAACTCCCCTGGAACATGGAGCTATGTTTGGACACAGCCTGGCACTCCGAAAAGTGGGAGAAATTCCCAGTGATGCAGTGACTCCCAGGTCATATTCATTGACTGGGTAGAACAGAAAAGCTTGGTGGAACTAGAAACCCCACTGACAGCATAGAGTCCTGTGGAATAACCTCCAACGCTAACATATTTTGGCTACCATTAGTCACTTCACATCGGCGAGCCCCTCAACCATCGCACCACGGAGCTCCACGATCACGCGGCGTACCCCTCTCCTGGTTGTATTATTCAACAAAATATTGGAAACGTATACATTTTGTTCACATAACAAATTATTTTAATCAGTGATGTCTTACAAAATACTTGTGATATATAATAGCATCCTTACACAGAGACGGTGGCACGAAACTGTGCATGAGGGGGCGAAATCTGCTAACCACCCCTCGTGCCAAAAGCGCAATCTTACCAGGGTAGTCCGAGGCATGCTCGCAGGGGGGGGGGAATCTAGACCCTCTGAAACGCTATTTCTTGCATGTTGAGGGTCAAATTTTTGCTGACATATATAGCTGAGTTTAATGACATCTCCAGGGAAAACTTACTGACCCACGTTTGATTTTTGAAGGGGCGACGCCTCTTCAAATTGTTTTTAGGGGGCACCCCAGGTGCCACCGCCACTGTCAGAGACAGAGCGGAAAAGGAAGTCAGTAGAAGACACAAGATTTTTTCGTTAGCGTGATTAGCCTGGGGAAAACAGATGTTAATTCGAAAATTAATTGTCTTTTCCTGTTTGTGATTGGTCCTGGCAACGTTTGGGGAATCATGACGTAATTCCGTCTGTGAGGATGCTTGTGTGACTAGACTGATTGTTGGGGGTTACCCTCGCCAACTATAGGAATAGGTGGTTGAATGATTTGTTAATATGTCCGTTTTGTAAAATTTAAGAATAAAAATAATAAATTGCGTATATCAGTTGATTTGTTTTGTTCGCGTTGTTGAATAGCCCGCAGTCGACACCGTGACATGTACTTTTCAGTACCAGAGGGCACTCCTTTGATATTATGAAGAGAGTGTAGACACCACAGGAAAAGTCGATTGTTCAGAGTGGAATCATAAACTTGTTGTATCGGAACGGGGGTAGGTAAATGGTGGGAAAAATTCATATTTAAAAGTCACCCGATCTAATTTTGCTCACCCCTTAGTCAACCTCTAGAGCAGCCCGGGAATGCCCCGCCCAGAGCCTCTCTATCGTCTGTTTTAGTTTAAAATGAATGGAAACGACAATAGTTGAAACAGCAGCTGGCAGTCAAGTTGACGGATATAGCCATTGCTTACATAAAGGATTTAATTCACTGGATGATGCCAAGTACTATTTACAGCAATATGGTGCACCTGACATTCTTCATGAAGATAAGGACACTGACCCAATTCTAGAACCCTCAGGAAAATGTGAAGACCAACCAACTGACTTTTAAACTACCAGTAGTTACACCCGTCCTAAAAGAACAAACCAACCCCCAAAACGTTATGGGAACTTCATCTATGACAACAAACTTACTACAAATGGAGATGAAACTCTTGATAAGATAGATGAAATAATCAAAACTGATGATGATCAAACACCTGAACTTGAAAGTAAAGTTTTACGCCATGAAGCCTGTGATATTTTTGACGAGGAATACACGACAACTCCAACACAGCCAACAAAACAGACAGTTTCCAATCATACACATATTCTTCCTGTTGAGAACATGAATATAACCTTGATGGGATTATCTACTAAAATAGAATCTTTACATGACAACTGCACTGATGTCAGGACAAGTGTTCAAGTCCAAATGGAAGACACAAGAAAAATCCTCTCAAAGCAAAATTCTGACATGGCTGAAATCAATAAATACATGAGGGAATTTATGTACAAATTTGACTTACTGGATTCCAAATTTGATGTAATTACTAGAGATATAATTACTGTGAAAGAAAAGCAAAAACATGTTCTCGCCTCAGTCAACAAATTGAACTTAACCCTAAACATGAAACAAGCACACCATCCTACAATACAATGTAGAAGATGAACATCCCACAGTGTCACCCATTGAAACTAGCAATATATACGGTGTTTTACCCGTGGAGGAACTGCCACAACAACTCTCACCATTGGTGGTACAGCAGGATCCACCCATCAGAAAAGAACCAGTATCTCTCATATTGCATACACCACCTTCCAGAATGCAACAGCTACCAGCTCCCATGTTTCAAACACCACTTCCTGTTACACACCAATCACCAGTTCTTGTACCTTTGGTGGCAACTACCCTACAACAACAGAAAAAACAACCAGATGCAACAGGCAAACCTATGCCATCTATGCCAACAATAAACCGAGAATCACCTGACAACCCAAAATCTAATCAAAGTGTCCCAGGGAATAACAAAGATGTAGTCCCAGCACCACGAAAAATCATTATAGTTGGTGATTCTATGTTACGTGACATTGATACACAACGTTTAAATAAAACAACTGTATGGTCTATGAGTGGAGCAGTGATTCCAGATATAAAAACTGAAGTATACAACAACAGGAATGCTATCAAGAACTTTGATGACATAATCATACACGTTGGCACCAATGACATGAAGAGAGGCATACCAACACAATCAATGATAAACGAGAACAAAGAAACCTTACAGTTAGTGAAGAATGCATCCCCTGGTATTAAGGTATACATATCTAGCATATGCCCAAGAGGTGACAAGATAAACATGTATGTTGACTTCATTAATCAGCTGAAACAACTGATTTATGGCAAAATAGAAAAGAAATGATGAATGTAATTTAAATATATGTATTACTGTTTTCATGCTGCCGATACAAAGGTTGAATAAACATTATTATTATTATAGTGTTGAGGTGTGAATTACTTCAGTTTGGAATGCAAGGCGTGCTTCGGACGGTGTCAGGACGATCATGGAGCTAAAAAAAGCTCCATGGGACGATCCGGCCCTGGTGAAAAAAAACAAAAAACGATCCGGCCCTGGTTTGGACGTTCTGGCCCCAAAACAGATTGATCGATCCGGCCCGGGTATAAATTATATTTGATATGTGTTCATCTCTATAAATGTTAATATACTAAATGCACAACGAATGTATGACTATTTTATTCACAACGTATTTTTCGTCTTTTGCAGGGCATTTTCACGATCTAACACCATATTTCACACAATGCAACAGATGTTTGTTCATTTACTCGCCCCCGCCTTTGTACTAAACACCGTATGGCCCCGAGTAATTGACACTGTTCACGTGGACATGTGCGGACCGCAGACAGATTACTTGAATCAAAGACTATATTCTTTGCTTGAATGCACATTGGTTGTTTTGTTGCGTAAAGAATTAAAGCGGGAGGGTCGTCACCTGCGCACGCGCGGGAATTGAGTCCCAAGCGACGATAACAACACACGCTAAACGCAAAGGCTCATGGGTAGACGCTTGTTTGTAAACAATGACACGCTATGGCCATCTGCGCAGATGGGTGACGACTTCCCCGCTTTAAGAACGTTAATCGGCAGAGGAAACGAATGTAGCAGTTTATGTAGGCAATTTTCTTAACTGTCCGCGGTTGGTGTCTGTGTACAGTTGATGTTCTAGCATGAGGTGCGTGGATCATTGTTTGCCGATGACATGAACCGGTACATTTCCAGACCGGTCTACAGAGGTACTGTGGTCCGACAGAGTACACCTCTAGTTTCGATCGATTCTGACAGTCGGAGCACGTCACGATCCCCCAAACGTTGCCAGGACCAATCACAAACAGGAAAAGACAATGAATTTTCAAATTAACACTTCTGTTTTCCCCGACGCTAACCAAATTTCCCCCTCGCTAACAACAAAAATCTTTTGTTTTTCACTGACTTCCTGTTCCGGTCCGTCTGTCAGAAAACTCACTCAAATTGAGAGATGCATGCTCCAAGCAATATTTCCTACCGTGAAATCGATAATGAAACCCCATCACACTAGTATGCAATACATTCGGATCTTTACGTGGATCATCCACGTACATATAGGTATATGTGTTCGCGTTACATAGCCAAGTGCGTGTCTGAGATCGGCGACCGGCTACAGTGAATTGAATAGTCCTTGTTTACCAATACGTTTCAATGATGTTAATTTCATGTGTGCGTTGTCGAATCATGCCCAGACAAATACAATAACAATCTGAACAATGGAGATGACATTGAGTCGGCGGCGTTGCCCGGGACTTCATGATACCATGGACGTGTTAGTACGTCTATGTTGATACTGACATGTATTGTTTTTTTACTTTCAACCACAGTTCAATGTCGCTAAAAACAAAATAGATAAAACTTACTTGCAGTAAAACTATTCACCATCAAGAGCCCGGTAACAAGTCACTGTGAGGCGTTCCGTCGTCTCGATCTTTAGGTTTGCAGCCCGGTGAAACTAAAGACTTTTTATCAGATTCACCTTCAGCGGCGACAGTGTCTGTCGTAACCGGGAACACCGGTGGAAGATTACATGTATGGCCTAGGTAGGACTAGGGACACACTACAATTGGGAACGGTGTACTCAATGAAAACACTGAGTAACGATGGGCTTAGTCACCATTCATCAACAACTATTCTTCAGACTGCCTGTGATCCCACTTCCTTCTATACAATACTTAACCATGAATAAATAATAGTCCGGTGAGCTGCATAATGGATCGTCCTATAGCGACGTTGGGCGTTCCTATCACCCAAAACCTTGTAACCAGTATACTCTACGCCTCGGGAGTCAGGGACGGGCCATTCATTTCACTGAGGCGTTCAAGGTGGAAGACTGTGCCTTTTCACGTCCTATGTGGAATTATCAACATGTACTTGAGCCAGACACCAAAATTATATTAAAATGTAACAAAAACTGCAGTACTACAAGTAAAAATGGATAAAACCGATCAGCGAAGCTCTTTTCACTTTTCCCGTGTTTTATCATCCCAGCTTGTCGGTCTTTATCCAATTTTATGCGAGGTATATTTTGTGTCAACAACTTTTTCAATGACATTTTTATGCAGATTACTTGTAATCTCACCATATTATTTGTTCCAAAAATATTTACGGCCCACCCTTATCTAACGTATTGAACAACAATGGACTTGCGAGTGGACGCGCCCTCTATAGTTAGGCAACCGGGACCAAATATTTGCCAAAACCGTAAAGTTTGCAATTTTAGACGATGAAATGATTACCCCCCGAGGAGCAGGAACAAGCCAACATGGGTGAGGCAGTAGTTCAAGCACTGCTTCAATACCACATAGCGCCAATGGTATATGATAATAATCTATATTCAACACGAAAATCTACTACAGAGAGTAATTTTATGGTTGTAAAACAAAAAAAGAAATATTACTTCACTCACAAATAGCACATTATTTAAATACATGTAATTATAAAAGAAATAAAAACATGATAACGTAATGTTATTGTTTAAAACAATTAACCTGAAATACAGTTCACTCTACCAATACCACGAATAAAACATTAAATACATGTAACTAAGAATGGAAGAAAAAACATGAAAATTAGTATTAGAATACAACTACTAAGCTACTAAATATGCATTGCATTAAAACCACTTGCAGACTTATATAATAGAGCTGCTACGTTCGGTCTCTTAAGTTCATATTTATATGAATGATGAATTGTGCAATTTATACTCCTTCAAATCTTGTCATAATTAATCGAAATTTTTCTCTTTCATTCATTTTCAAAGAGTCAGATTTTTTGTCCTGTATATATTTAAACAATTTATTACGGGGTACATCATATTTACTGCTTTCTATTAAGAAATGGTACTCGTCTTCAATTTCATCACCTGTACAAAATTTACTAATTCTTTCATTTCTAGGAATTTTCTTTTGCCTGCCAGTCTCAATGAGTAGTTTATGATCAGAAATTCTAATTTTGCAAAACGATCGCCTTAATTTTTTTTTTATCAAATTAATGAAGTTAGTTTGTTTGTTGCTCAATTCATATTATATGGCGTGCGTGTGGTGGCTCCGACATCATTGACATCCATATCACAAGATAATGAAAGCGTTTACAACAAAATGATCCAGTTGTTGGGAAAGTGTTAGACTACTTTCAAACGGGTTGTTTAACTTTAAACAAGACTGAATGAAAGACACACTACCATCGGAAGTGGAAGATTGCTGTAGATAGGATGAAAGATAACAGCTGAAAACTGAGTCACAGTTTTATATCGGTAAGTATCAAGACATCAAGGTCCATGGTATTGGCCTGCTTGTCAATTAAGCCAGCCAAAGGTGGCTATAGGGATGTACTTTTGATAACGGATCACTCCGCGTAATATGCCATAGCGTTGCCTACTCATAACCAAGCAACTAAAGTGTCACAAACTTATTTCCATAACTGGAAAACGTCACATTCATTTATACCCACAAGGCAGTTCGAACCTTGACTGATTTTCCGTAGCAGTGGTTGAAAGAAAATTGCGTGACTCTTTCGCTCCAGAATAAAATGTGTAATAGGATTTGAGAAATACGTGTCCCTGTCGCACTCAAAATAATCACGAGTTGTTGCTTTTATCAAAGCACACATGCAGAGCCGTTTGATTTGATGATTCGACTGGAACGGTTCGATCAAAATAACTTGAACGGACTAGACATGAACAGAAAAAGAGGTACGGTTATAAGTGGGTCCACCAGGCAATGTTTCAGTTTGGACTTCTCAAACCTTCTCAAATATTATTATTGCGATGGTAACCAGTGCTCAACGTAACCACACACACGTCTCGTCTGACCTGCCGGCTGAGTACGGTCCCGTTTTATGCCTACAAGCTGATGTATGTGTTCTTATCACCATTAATATTGCCAACAAAATAAGACAGCGTTCATCAATCGTGGTTTAAAAGTACATGTAACTTTGGGTGTCCTTCCAAATATTTAAGCATGACTCGAAGTCCAAAAATAAAGAAATACTAGCATACGATATTTTATTTACTATTAAAAATCTTTACGTTGCATCTCAGACAACTAATGCAATGTATTAGTTGTCTTAGGTTGCATACTACAGATCGACGTACACACTGGCAGATGTCGCTGTTTGCCGTTTGCCAAACTGTGGTTAATTTTTCCTTTGTATGTTGGTGCATTCACTTCTGCCATATCGACATATTTTATGTATTCACTTCGAGTAAAAACAAAGATTTATTGTATATTTTGTCATATTCCGTATTTAGGAATATTTTACAGGGTTTCATATAATACACCAGTCTTATTATATAAATCACGCCCTCTATTCACGGAGCGCTTCTGTGATGTCAAATTGACGTAATGGGTGAATGCAATATCGTCGCTTTGTCGCTAGAGGGCGCGTTATAGGAAAGATATAAGGATTCGCCACTAAAATTATTTATTTAATCAGCAGTTAATTTGACCGAGGGAGTGCCGGTGACTTTCACATGTTATTGTTAAATAATCACAAGCCCCCCCCTAGGTGTGTATTAAAAATTTGGGCTGTCCCCCCTTAGAAAAAGTACAAAATATGGTACCCCCCTGAAAAATTGTTTTTAAACAATAAGGATTTACATTAATGAAACGTTGCATGCTTCCACGTTCCAGCTCTTCTCCCTGACCCTCGTCACTACAGTTTAAGGAACTATTAAGTCATCAGTCTCTATTTCCTCTGCACTGTCAACGAGATCATCACCATCATAGTCCTCTGAGTCAGTTTCGTCAGTGTTGTACATTCTGGTGTTTACAGTTTGTAAATGTTCAGTGATTTTATGTGTTTTTGCTTGATCTTTATATGATTTTCTGATTACATCACTGGTAATTGCTTTCATTTTGTCTTGTTTGTTCCCTTTTTTGATAGCTTATTATGGTCCAGGTACTTATCCAACTCAGCTACTGTCAATGTTTTTAGTGTCCCATTCAACACCCAAGAAATCCAGTCATAATCACTATGACTTTTTTCCTGCTTCTCTTTTTGTTGTTTCTCCTACCTTTTCCCCTAATG